AGCCTCACTCAAAGCTACCACAGAGTTGGCAAGAGTTTACTACCAGCCGGTCTCAGAACCATTTAACTGAATTTTAGAGCTGTACCCTCATTAACAGGAAGTTAACAGGAAGAGTTGCATAGCCACTATCAAGGAGGCACAAGCAAAAACCTGTGAGAAAAGTCAAGAGGATCCAGCATTCATCATCCTAGGCAGGAAAAAATGTAACACAGGTTTACATCTATACCAGCCTAATAAATAAAGAAGGGGTTGAAGGCTGGTGAACATAATTATTGTACTTACCCCTTAAGACTTTGCCTAAGAGGCCTCCTACAAGACAGTAGCTGTATATTTTTATCGACACCATTCCTAGCCTTTACTCAACCAAGAGCCCCAAGGCAGGGGAATTTTAACTGGATGCAGTTAACACCTGTCCAAAATGAGTATTTTTATTGACACAATTTCTAGCCTTTACTCAACCTAGAGCCCCAAGACAGGGGATTTTAAAGTTGGAGATTGTTTCTCTAAGCCTTTGCCTAAAAAAGCACCTCTACAAGGGCAGGACAGGTGGTACTGGGTTACATAATACCAGTTGCAGGGTGATTGTGATGATCCTGAACCTGACCTGATCTGGAGTATTTAAAAGGAGCTACTTCCTGCAAACAGCACCTTAAACTATCAGGCATTATAATTTGGAAATACATTAGGAAAAATATTTCACCCAACAAAATACTAGAGATAAGAGTGAGCATAAGTGTAATAGATGTAGTGCCTAGTTAGTTAATGAGCTCACACTGCATCAAAACAGATTTAAAATTTAAACAGAACCTTTAAACATTTAAACAGAACACAAACATACAAATAGCAACTTACATGTGAGTCACCACCACGCCAGAGATTCAGACAGAACACAAGCATACAGATACAAGGTGTTAACCAGGAATAAATTTGATACAGCGCTTTAACGAAATTGGGAATTTGTCAAAACCAATAATGCCCCTCCTCTCTCTCTCTGCTGAGATTAAAATGTGTTCCGGGAATGTGTGGGGTCCTTTTCTTATATTCTTTTTTTTAATACTCCGCTTCAGCACTGCAAGAAACAAGACATAAGTCAAGTAGAAAAAGCAAATGATTTGAATTGTTTAGCAAATAAGTTGTAAAGTTGACTATTTGTATTAAAGATTGAGAAAATCAAAAGTTGTGGGCCTCAACTTCAAAAAATACCTAAATTAAATAATACAAGATGAAATCCCTCAGCAGTCCTAGCACATTCAGCATTTATTCTTCTACCAGAGAGAAGATTCACTACTTGACATTTCTAGATTCATACCTATGAGATAGGTAGACCATTGGTTTACTGACCAAACAATGCAGTGAAAAGGTCTTGGAATCAGGAACCATAGAGATTAAAAATTCCCAGAACCATAGAGATTAAAAATTCCCAGTCACATGCTAGGTTTAGGGGTATACATACGCATTAATTCCCCTATTTGTCGTGAAATCAGGTTCGAATCCTTTGACCATTCTTTTATGTGCTTTCGCCTAGCACCTCTTCACTCTATCACCTTTCTCTTTGTTCTTTATCGTTCTCCTTCTTCCCATGATTGCGCTCTTTTAGATGAAATCTCTGATCAAATTGACCATGCCCTCTCTCTTTACCCCTCTGCCAATATTGTTGTTGTTGGTGATTTTAATGCCCATCACACTGAATGGCTTGGCTCTAACACCACTGATCCTGCTGGCACTAAAGCCTTTAACTTCTGCGTTTCTCAATCTCTTACTCAGATAGTTAACTTTGTGACTCGTTTTCCTGACAACCCTAATCATTTACCTTCACTCCTTGACTTATGTCTTGTCTCTGACCCTAGCTTATGTTCAGTTTCTCCCTTTTCTCCCTTAGGTGGTTCTGACCATGCAATGATCTCTATAAATCTTTCCTCTCGTACTTCTTTTTTGGGCTCACCTTATCATCGCACCACCTACTACTACCCTAAAGCTGACTGGGATTCCTTTCGTGATTTTCTTCGTGATGGTCCTTGGGCTGATGTTTTTTCTCTCTCAGCTGACAAATGTGCCTCCTACATAACCTCCTGGATTCAGGCTGGAATGGAAGCTTTTATTCCTTCTCGTCGGTTTCAAGTCAAGCCTCATTCTACTCCATGGTTTTCTCCTTCTTGTGCGGCTGCTATATCCAATTGTAACCATTTTTTTCATCTTTTTCAAAAGAACAACTCTCTTGAGAACAAACGGCTATTTATTATTGCAAGAAATCGATGTAAAAAGGTGCTTTCTGATGCTAAACTCCATTATTCTCAGTTCACTAAATCTCGCATCTTATCGCAGAAGTTAGGCTCTAAAGACTTTTGGAAAATCTTCAACAGCATTGTTAACAAGGGTAGATCTAACATTCCATCTCTCATTCATGGGACTGATCTTGTTACCTCTCCCAGGGATAAGGCAGAACTGTTTGCAAAGAACTTTTCTTCTAATTCCACTCTTGAATCTTATGGACATTCTCTTCCTTCCATTCCAGTCAAACAGGTTGACCCATTGTTAGACATTCAAATCACTCCGGCTTCTGTTGCTTAAGTCATATCTCAGTTAAACTCGTCTACAGCTTGTGGTCCAGACAACATGCCTGTCACAGTCTTGCAGAATTGTTCTCCAGAACTTTCTTCAATTCTCTCTAAACTATTTAACAAGTGTTTGACTGAGTCTTGTTTTCCTGCTTGTTGGAAAATGGCATCTGTGGTTCCAATATTCAAAAACTCTGGAGAAAATTCTGACCCCTCCAATTATTGTCCGATCAGTCTTCTTTCTGTTATTAGCAAGGTCTTTGAGTCTTTAATCAACAAATTCCTCACATCTCATCTTGAGTCAAATAAACTGCTGTCAGACAATCAATACGGTTTTCGATCCTTTCGCTCTACGGCCGACTTGCTAACTGCTGTTACTGAAAGATTTTATCGTGCATTAGATGGAGGCGGTGAGGCTAGGGCTATTGCTCCGGACATATCTAAAGCTTTCGACAAAGTTTGGCATGCTGGTCTTCTCCATAAGCTTGCTTCATATGGTGTTTCTGGGAAAGTTTTTGAGATTATCAATTCATTTCTTTCTGACCGGTTTATTAAAGTCATCCTTGAAGGCCAACACTCTTCTTTATTTCCAGTAACTTCTGGGGTTCCCCAAGGTTCCATCCTGGGCCCTGTTTTGTTTCTTATCTACATAAACGATCTTCCTGACAACCTTTCATCTAAAGTAGCTCTTTTTGCTGATGACTCAACTTTATACTCCTGTCTTGACAAAAAGTCTTCTCTTTTCGATCGCCTAGAACAAGCAGCTGATCTTGAATCTGATCTCACTTCAGTAATAGATTGGGGTTCACAGTGGCTTGTGAATTTCAACTCTAAAAAAACCCAATTGCTTACTGCAAACAACTACCGTAATATGGTCAACATTCCTATATTAATGAATGGCAATCCTCTTACTGAGTCCTCCTCTTTACGTCTTCTTGGATTATCGCTTACTACTGACCTTTCATGGAAACCATATATACAATCGATTGCTAAATTAGCTTCTGCTAAGGTTGCTTCTCTTTATCGTGCTCGCCATTTCCTTACTTCTGATTCCATTCTCTACCTCTACAAATCTCTTATTCGTCCCTGTATGGAATACTGTTGTCATATTTGGGCTGGTTCTTCTAACGGTTCACTCTCTCTTCTTGACAAGGTCCAAAAACGCATTGTAAATGTTGTTGGACCTGGACTATCTGCTAAGCTTGAACCTCTTTCCCATCGTCGTAAAGTTGCATCTCTTTCTCTTTTCTACAGATACTATCATGGTCACTGCTCAAAGGAGTTATCATCTCTAGTTCCATCAACTAAAATTCATTCTCGTTTTACTCGTCATTCAGCTAAGTCTCATTCGTTTTCTGTATCTGTCCCTGCATGCTCTAAAAACTTTTATTCATCTAGTTTTTTTCCCCGCACTTCAATTCTTTGGAACTCTCTCCCATCTTCATGTTTTCCTGACTCATACAACCTTCAACTTTTTAAGTCTTCTGTCAACCGTTTCCTTGCTCTATAACTCTGTTCTTTTTTTTTCCTAGTAACTCCCAACTTAATAGTGGTTGCTTGCAGCCTTGTTGGGAGTGAATGCATATAAAAAAAAAAAAAAAAAAAAAATCAGAACAAGCTATAAAGTGTCTTCAAAATCTTTTTGACATTTGTAAAAAAAAAGAGAACCTCAAACTTAGATTTAACATCATCTAACATAATGCTACATAAGAATTGTACGCTTTAATTAAGCTTAATCCGATACAATTTTTTTTTTTGACATCAATTAATTGGTTTGTTGGTAACCTTTTTCAACAAGAAAATCGAATTAATGATTTTTTCATTACTTTTATACAAATTTTCATTGATTTATGAACAAGATATATGGGGTCACAAAAAAGTCATTTTTCAATGTTCATAAAGAATAGAGCAATAATAAATTAATAAACAAACAAAATTAATTTTTTCTTTTATTAGCAGTTTTTCCTTCACAGGGCCGGGGCAAGTAGGTGTTATGTAAGGAAGGGGGGGGGGGGTACCTTTACAATTTTTGCCGATTTAAAAAAAAAAAAAGTCCTAGTTTTTGAAAATTTGCCGACTGCCATGTTGACATTTGCCAACTAACTGTCTAATTTACCAACTAACTTATATCGAAAGGGTCGACATTTGCCAACTAACTAGTCAAAAAGGGTCAAATTTGCCGACTAAAGGTCAAATTTGCTGACTAAAAATTATTGATAGGGGGGTGTCACACCCTCTCCCCACACCTTCCTATCGCGCTGACCTTGCTCCTTCAACAGCATCATTAGGAAGCCTGACAACTTCTACTTACTGATGATCCTGTTGATGGAGAAAACGCCTGTATAAGAAAAAGTTGAATAAGGTAGTTTTAAATAATTTATTTCATGTATATATATTTCAAATTAAAGCAATTAAAAATTGAAATTATCAATAAAAAAACATTACTTGCAAACAACTGCAACAATATCATTTCTTAAATATTGTTGTGATTTAGATACTTCACTAATCAACTGTAAAATTAGGTCAAAACTTGGTAAAGAATTATCCGACCAAAAACTAAACTCTAGCATGCACATGATAGTTTCACTCTAAATTTTTATTATTAATTTTAAATATTAAAAAAAATAAATAAAAAGATAATTAGATACTGTTTAGGATCGAGGTCCTTAAAGTATGTAACTGAGAATAGACATTACATATCCATATAATTGAGATTGTAGGATATTCATGTATTTAGCTTAGAATGTAGGTTGTTCATGTATATATTACTTACACTGTTTGAAAAAATAACAATAAAATAAATTTTGTCAACACTGTTATTTTCTCAGAAAAAAATTTAAGTAGCTCTCTCAAAATAATACCTCAACAGACACAGACAAGTTTCTTTTAATTACAAATTCTAGCTTTTCCTCAGCTAGCAACTTTACAGTGACACCATTAAGTTTCAAATCACAAGCTGATGGATAAAATTTAAAATATGATGGTTCTTTTTTTTCGTTTCTGCAGGTAAGGTAGACAATAGTTGAAACATTGTGTTTCTTTAAAACATACCAAAACTCTGTGACAGTAGATTGAAGTGGACACTGGGTTGCTATAAACGCTTTCTTTCTTTTATAACTGTCAACAAAAACAGTATTAGGGTAAGATTCACTTGCTACCAGCACATTTTCTCCTATTAAATAAATATTTAATACATATATAAAAGTCTCAAAAATCTGCAAAAAAAAATTTAATGGTCAAATAAACTATCTGTCATAACATATTTTTGTTAACCTTTTTGTTATATTAAGTTAGGGTGCATTATCCTGATAATCTTACATCTTACGGCTAAAACTCATACAAATGTTTATACCCAATTTTTTTTCGAAACTCTTATTTGTAATAAGCTTTTTATGATCCATATAACTGATTTTTGACTTGTAATTTTTTTTAAAGTGTTTTTGATTTGTGTAATCTTACAGGTACTACAGAATTCCACTTCTTAAATTTTTTGATTATTATTCTTTTTTAATTTCTGCTTTTTCAAAATTTATTGAAGGTAAAAAAAATCTTAGCTGTTTAGCAAAATATGAATTTTGAAATTAAATAGACAAGATTATCTTTTCAAGTTTTCAGGGCAGTCTGTTGACATAAGATTAACAATACAGTAATATCTTAAATAAAGTACAAATTACTTAAACAAGAATTTTAAGAAACTAAGCTTTGAATAAGAATTTTTGACTTTTTTTGATTTTTTTTTTGACCTTTCACTGACTTTTTTTTGTTGACATACCTGTTCCAGAAAAATGTTGCAGAAATTTGTTTTAGAAATGAACTGCTGTAACTGGTTCCCATTTTATATTTCGAAAATTTGTCAATCTAGTAATATTTTAGTAACATGTTTGAGTGATTTGTTACAAGTATAAATTTCATTAATATGTTTAAGTAATATGTAACAATAATTTTTCCATTAATTTATTTCAGTAACATGCTTTAATAAGCTATCAGCCTAACACATCTTTTTCATCTAATAGGCTTGCATAGATGTAAACCTGTGTTAGATAGTTTCATGATTAGGATAATGAATACTGAATCTTCAATAGTTCTCTACATTGATTGAAAGGTTGAAAGTCTCCTCACTCTTGACTTTTTAAATTTAATCAATCATCTGCGTAAACACAATTTAAGTTGTCAAAAAAATCTGAACAAAGTGAATTTAATTATGTGTATTTTCAAAAAAAATTTTCAAATAAAAAACAAGCAAGAGAGATTGCATATTTAACTTTCCAACTATTCCAGGCTATATCAAAGATACTTTAATATAAACATAAATCCTACTTTTTGTGTTCAACTTATATATACTTATATGTATATTAGGGTGTCCCAAAATGATATGAATTATTTTCATTTTGAACTATTATTAGATTTTTAATAGATTTCATATGTACTTCTGTCTATTTAAAACAAAAACAAAAAAACTCAATTTTTATTTCTGACCCCTGGCCACCTTTTTTTACTTTTTATTTTTTAAATTATAATAAAAAGGACTAAAAACATTTATTATAAACAACCATGTTCACATTTTAAACAATTTTCTTGTTTAGTTGAGTTTAATAAAATCTAGTATGTTTTTTTTTTTTTTTTAAATTTCATACATGACCTCCTTACACCCTTTTTTGAAGTGTTTTCCCAATTATAATCCTAAATAAACTTCTTATATTCATCTATTAATATATTTAACTATTTTCATATTTTCAAATAATTTTATATATAGTTTTTTATACTAAAACTAAATAAAAATTTATTCAAAGAAATTTTACACAAACCCATGATTATGATATTTTTCTAAAATAATGAATTTTTAGAATTATACCCTTTATTTAAAACAAAAAAGATTAACTTGATAAATAATTTTAAAAATTATCATTAAAACTTATTTTTATGACAAACAAGCAAATAAATGATTCATATAAAAAAAAAAATTAGTTAGATTAAGCATAAGTACATTATTTCTAGGCAGTGAACAAACGCTAGAAAGCATGAAAAACTTTCAATATGAGCTTTTTAAGTCATTAATTATTTGTGGCTTATTTTTAAGTTAAAAGTATTTCCAAAAACAATAAAAGCAATCTTACTAGAAAATCTGCATCAAAGTTTACTATAAATTTAAAGATGACAGGATTCAAGTTTTGAAGTTAACGTCTCTTGCAACTCCTAAGAGATGCAAGAGACATTAACTTCAAAAATATTAAAACAAATCACTCAAAACAAAAGTATGAATTTTAAACTCAAATTAATTATTTGTGAAGCATGCGTTTTTGAGCAGAGGTAAGAATAATATTTCTGTGGTAATTCAATTGAATATGATGCATTAGAAAGAGAGTTTCCTTAAGATTTATTATTTATTTACAAGAAATTCTTTTGTATTTAATTGCCTTGAGATAACACTTGAGATAACAAGATTTTCTTAAACTCACTATTAACATGAACTAGGACTAAGTGCAAAGAAACTCAAATTGAAAGTCTTTTTTTTTTAAATTATGACAACAAAATAAAAAAATTTGAAAGGTATTAGTAATATAAAAAAAGCATTGCTTAAATTTTCAAAAATAGAGTTTTTGATTGTTTATTTATCTGTGGAAAAACTTTTCAGTAGTGTTCTACTACATGTAAAAAAAAATTCTTTCTGGTCTTCAACTTGGTAAGATTTTGCTTATTCTGCTGTATCATTTACAGATTTCAATGATTTTTCTCAAAACATGTGTTGAAAATTTGAATTAGCTTACCAAAATTTTGGGGCTTGGGTAACCAACCACCATCTTTGTTTGAACTTCCAAATAAATTTAGAATGTTACTTGATTTTGGTCCAACTAAATCAATTAAACGAGCACATGGTTTCAAAAGAGGAAATTGTGAAAAGCCTATGTCATGTTCCCACTTTTCTCTTATATTTTTAAGAACTATTTTAGCAATTTAAGCTTTATCGCAATCAGACAACTTATTATAAAAAAGTGAGAGAGAAGAAGTTTCTTGACTAACGCAAACACCAAAATGTTGTACAAAATTGTACACATCCCTTTAGCATGATGGGAACCCCTGGTTTGTGCACTGAACATTTATTTGTTTTGCATTCAGTAATTGCAAAGCAAGTTGGCAACATTTTTGATAATCATCTAATATTTTTCAAGACTTTCGGTTGAGTAAACCAGACAAAAAATTTTTTGCTTCTGCTTGTTCGGTCTTTAATACTGGTTACTCAATTTTAATTTTTCTATAAGTAGTATCTGAGCTTAATAAAAGTTTAGGCCATACATTTTTAAAGTGTCTAAATGGCTCATAATTTGGACATTCTCTAAAAATTGTTATGTAAACAGAAGACAAAACTCTTTCTAAGATATGGAGTTTGTAGGCACACTAAAGTAACTTTTTATTGAAATGAACTTCAATTAACTTTGCAGAACCATTAATCCAACCTGAGCTTGATGGACTTGTATCAAAAATTATTGCTACAAGTGTTTTTTCTAGTTTCCAGGCCTTTACAGCACCAATGGTTTTTGTTGCCTGACTTGGCCCAGTTGTATCAGGAATCATGGACACACAAAACAATTTTTCTTCAGTTGCACTTGGTTTTCTTGTTACTACAATAGCTACTATTTTACCATCAACTTCATAGAACAGCTTTAAATCCCAGTGAATGGAAAAGTTAGTGTGTGAAATTAATGTTTTTTTTTATGTCATCCGAAACTTGCTGTCGAATTTTATTACCTGATCTGCTTACTGTGCTTTTTGTGATAGATATTTTATCCAAACTGTGACTTAATGGTTTAGCTACAGCTAAATGATCCCAGATCTTTCTTTGTTTGACAGATTCAACCTATCAGCCATTAAAAAAACTTTAGGGTGTTCAAATATCCTTATTTTTTTTCCTGTGTAGGAATAGCACTTTCTTACTTTTTATTGGAAATTTTGTCTTCAGCATCAAATTCTGGCACAACTATCGATCTTTTTTTTCAATTTTTATTTTCTTATTTGCTCCTTTTGTTTTTACTTCCATTTTTTTTTTTGTATAAATCCTAACTAAGGACCCAAAAATTGTTTTTTTCAATTAATGCTGATCTAAGAGAAAATCTGAAATTTGACTATTAATGTCATGAGGGGTGTCTTTTCTAATAAAATCTTCTAAATTTGATGGTGCAATATCAAATAGAGATGACAACTTATTAGTAAAACTCAGCAGTTCAGCCGTAGAACATTATTTTTTTATATTTTTAACCAAGTTTTTTCTAAGATGTATTAGATGCAGCATCATTCTAATAGTATTTATTTTCTGTTTTGTTTGAATTCCTGCTATTTTCTAAAATAAATTCAATTTTTTGCAAACTACAGATGCAACTTCATTTTTACCAGCTAGTTTCAAATCAAAACTTGTAAGATATAGATAATGGCATAAAACTTCTCCATTAGTTGGTAATTAAATCAAAGGTAGGTAATAATTTCCCAACAACTGTATCAAACATCTTATCATTTTTTCTCAATTCAATATTGCTCATATCAGATTGAATATTTATATATATATATGTTATTATACCTAAAGATTTAAAAAAATAAATACAAACTATATGAATATAAAATTATTTAAGAGAAAACAACTGCATTTATAGTAAAAACTTTTCTTATCTTAAACTTTGCATTTAATTTTTATAATTTGATAACTCTTGATAATAATGGAGTAAAGTTAATTCTTAAGTTAAATGTTTTACTTTTATTTATTAATATCAATTGATACATAGTGTTGAATTATAATGGCATCAAATGTGATACAAAACATGTTCAATTAAAACATTGTATTTTAATATTGAGCTGAAAATCATTGTTTAATGTTGAATAGTTTTTAAGAAGTGAATATCAGAAGAAGTAGAAATTTTAAAATGGAGGCAGGGGGGTCAGACTTTAAAAATTTTCTATATAATATATATATATATATATATATATATATATATATATATATATATATATATATATATATATATATATATATATATATATATATATATATATATATATACAAACATAAAATTAATGATTGACAAATAGAGTGATCGTAAATTGCTAATTGCGATGGGCCAAAGCCATTTAGGGATCTTGAAAGTTTACTATTTGAAGTAATCCCTAACTTTTACATTCCTGAGTAAA